ACCGTGCCTCCGGAGAAGCACCTGTGGTTGGGGTGCTCCCACATGCTCACGTTAGCCAGCACAAATCAGAGGCGGCCCAGGAGGCTCCTCTGGCCCCAAAGCAGATGCTGGGGGAAACCAGTTTGGGCCAGCATCATCCTTCAAGCAGAGCAGGTGCACAGTGCTGAAGCTGTGTGCCGCAGCGGAAGACGCTGGAGCCTCAGCTCCCTAAGCCCACACCCAGCCCCAGCACAGACCGTGCTAGAAACTCTCCCGATTCCCTGCAGAAATGCCAGTATCTCCATATTAAACACCTGTCCTTGGAAAAGGTTATCACACAGCTGACTCTAGTCATCAATCACATCATCTGGTTTCTTCCTTTACACGTTATTTTTGCCATAGATTAGAGCAGGGCCTGCAAGACACCAACCACGTTTCACCTCCCAGCACGATTGTTCTGATGGTGAGTGCAGTGACTTTGCTGATCTCATAGCTTATCATTCCAGAGAAACTCCGTATTCAGGGCATGAAAACTAATGTAGAAATGAGTGGAAATGAAAGGAGTTTTGATGGTACTTGATTAACTGGACAGTAAGCACCAGAAGCAAAACATTAGGAAACCAAAGCCATTTTGTGATTGTAGCAGGCATTTAATAAAGGTGAGGGAAAAAGCAGCCATTACACAAAATCCGAGTGTTTTTTGTTTGCTTTGAAGTCTCCTCTTTAGTGCTAAACAGGAACCCTCACTCAGCCTGAAATAAAGCAGCAGCTTTGTAAAGAGCCTTTGAACCAGGATTACTCCAACACCATCCACCGAATCACGCAAATTCAGGTGCCCTCCCAGAAGAAAGCAGTTGCTTTCAGAAGCAAGTCCCCGTTGCCATCCCTCCCCTCGCTCCCATTCCCAACCTGCACAGGCAGCCCCCCGTGTGTCCCATCACAGACTTAGAATCACAGAATGGTTTGGGTTGGAAGGGACCTTAAAGCCCATCCAGTTCCAAGCCCCCTGCCATGGGCAGGGACACCTTCCACTAGACCAGGGTGCTCAAAGCCTCATCCAGCCTGGCCTTCAACACTTCCAGGGATGGGGCATCCACAACATCTCTGGGCAACCTGTGCCAGTGCCTCACCACCCTCTCCGTGAAGAATTTCTTCCTGCTATCTAATCTAAACCTCCCTGTTTTCAATTTGTACCTGTTCCCCCTTGTCCTATCACTACAGACTCTTGTAAAAAGTCCTCTCCCAGTACCCTTGTAGGCCCCCTTCAGATACTGGAAAGCTGCAATGAGGTCTCCTCGGAGCCTCCTCTTCTCCAGGCTGAACAAGCCCAATTCTTGCAGCCTTTCATCATAGGAGAGGTGCTCCAGCCCTCTGATCATCTTCGTGGCCTCCTCTGGACTCGCTCCAAGTGGTCAATATCCTTCTGATGTTGAGACTGGTGGGCAACCTGGGCTTTGCTGCTCTGAGCTACCGGTCCCCAAACCTCACCTCCACCAAGGAGTCAGAGCCTTTTCTCCCCCTGCTTTTGCAGCTCAGCTACAAGCAAGACCCCATGTGTACTCTTCCCTCAGGGCCTTTCAACTTGCCATGAACTTCAGCAGCCTCTCCCTCCAAAACATTTTGTTCTGACTGTGTTTACAGACCTCCCACTTCCACCCTCAATTACTGGTGGAATTGCCCTCAACCAGGGGAGCCTCTGGTCCATTTACTGGATAAATCCCCCACTCTTCCCACTTCCCCTTCACTTTCTCCTTTCCAAGTCCCGCTCCCAAGCACACAGGCATCCAGAACCATTCCTGGTTTTCCAGCTGAAACCACCGCACCTCACACAACAGCATTACAACTTTCCCAGCCTTTTGGAAGTCCCTTGCAAGCGATGCACAGAGATTACGAGACATCCACATCCCACCACAAGGCGACTGGGGTCAGGTGAGCCACCCCGCTCTCTCCATGGTGAGGCACTGCGCTGCCGTTTTTAAGGAATCGTCCAGCTCAGCAGCAATCCCACACCCTGCCTGCTGAAGCTGGATAAGCAGCCAGCACAGGCAACTAAAAGCCTCCTCACCAAGACAGCGAGTTATTCCCACGAGCCTTACTCACACACACTCATCCAAGAAACTCCGCTGGAACTAATCAGAGCTTTTCCATATCCTTCAGTAGCTTTGACCGAGCTGAAACTCCACCCGTTCCCAGCTGTTGCAGCTCATTCATTCTGTAATTCAGTGCAGCACTGCTTTGAAAACCTCTTTCTGATGCTGTTTCCCTGCAAAAGGCATGATGAGGAATAATAAGCAGGTGCTTCTGAACCCAAACCCAGAACAGCAGAAGTATAAAACTACTACACATGAAGCAATTAAGTAACCACACGGATCGCTGTTGATTGACAACCTTTATTAGAGCTGACTTTCCACGTTCAGAGGTTTCCTAGTAAGTACAAATATGAATTCAAAGCGCTACTCCACAGTAAGAAATCTTTATTTGCACAAAAAGATACAAACAACTGTTTTTTCAAAGTTCATCCTATTTAGTACAGATAATACCAAAAAGGCAAAAATAAAGAAAGATGAAAGACTAGCAAGGAAAAGAATTCTAGTTCTCCTTCAACACAGCCTGCGTGCTTCCACTTTTCTCTAGGAAACAGAGTATAAAGAGGATTCAATCAATTTATATATGAAATATCCTACCAAAAATATAACACTGTGTAAAGAAAGTTAGTAGTATAAAGTCAGGGAGTGGGCTGGGGGCAGAGGGGAAAGCAGTAGTTGCAACATTAAAAATCTCAAGTGTAAACTTTACTGCTGCTTTAAAATAAAAAACAACAAAAGTCACGTGAGTACTTCCCTTTGGCTTAGCAGCCAGGGAAATCAGAAAAGCTGATTTTTTTTTTAAATTTCTTTTATTTTTTTTTTTAAAGTGCTTAACCACCATATCCAAAAGTAATGACTTTCAGACCTACTTAACATGAATGTGCTCAAAAAGCCACTGCTTACAGCATAAAAGCTGTCATTCTGAAGCGCTGCGCATACAAACTGGCTTTATCCGCACGAATGAAAGATTGCTTTGAACAGCCCTCAATCATATGATGTCCCAAATCGACGTAATGCTATTAGAGCAGGCAGCTGAGTAAGTCCCAGAGAGTTGAAGTTTCAGAGATACACAAAATAATTCTGTTTCGAAGGCAGCACGCTCCTCCCAGCCGCAAGAAGGTAACTCCATGTAATAAGTGAGAGAAACACAGTTTTCTATTGCTGTTAGAAACCATAGAGACCAGACCAACCATTGACCTAGTGATTCGCACGTTTAACAGAGGGACACCAACACTTCTCAGTGATAAAATGCAAAAAGGCAACCCTGTGGGCGGGACCAATCGCCAACACGGTATTTTACTTGACCTTAAAACGGGCACTATGTTTAATGTTGACAGTATGTCCTAACAAAAAAAAAAATAACCCACCAACCTAAAAAAAATAAGAAAACCAATGACTTGAAGAGCTTTAGGACTGTTTTGTTACTTTCTTAAATGTTTATTCGAGCCTTAGTGCAAGGAAAAACCTAACACTCCAGGCTCCAAAGCAAGGCAAATACGTAAGACTATTTCATAGGCTTTTTGACAGATGTCAGACACACAGGTACGTGAGAAATTTAACTTCTTTAGCTGTAATGGCCATTTGTTTTTACCTCACAGTCAGAAAACACATGTAACACTGGGAGCAAAGACTCTGGCATTCATTAACCAGCTACAAATTGTTTCAACCCCACCCCTCTCCCAAATAAGGGTTGTCATAACCAAACTGAACCATCGCTATGGCTGTTGAGTTGCGCCCGCAACCTGTCAGCGGCGCCACCAACCCCCACCGCTACTGTACGAATTTCTCCCTCAGCTTTGGAATCCTGCAAGCTTGATCTTGTTTACATTCACCTATGTCACAGGTCTAATCTGTGAAATAATTCCTTGAAAGCCATCGATTTCCAGCACAGTACCTTCATCATCCTTCAGGACACTTTTGAAGTTAGGGAACCCCCTGGTACTGCTAAAATACATATTATCTAGAAAAGGTAA